TCGAGCATCGCGGTGTAAACGATAGTGGACAGTGCATGCAAATTAAATTTATTCAAAGAGCCGATATGTACGAAGCGCCAATTCAAGCAGTTCTGTTTCAAATTCTCCATTTCCACGCTATCGTGGCTTCTTTCCACGAAATCACGCAAATATTCTCGCCTGGGGTTGGGAATACGTGTATTAAATGCAGGTGGTGGATTTTTCTAATAGTAGTTAATAACGTGTTGGGTCAGTAGTTCTGAAAATATTAATAAAACAACCTTATTTTAATTAAATGCTTGCGAAACTCTGACACTGAACATAAATGATACTCGGTGCAGTGTACGTAGTAATATGATACAAAGCAGAAAATGGTTAAAGTGCAAATAGGTTTCGGTTATGATTCGTTAAAAGTTCGCGAGGTCAAAGCGTATAGTAAATGTTTGAAGTTTGACGTCACCTTTATACAATACTTGGAGGTCACTTATTCTCGCGGGTTCTCAACAAATTTCCACAATATTTCGTTTTATATCGTATTACACTGGACACAGATACACAGTAGTAAATATCAACTGCTCTAGGGTGCCCTTTGCGACACGAGTGTCCGCTCGAACTCGCGTCACTTTTATGCACTTCAATATGGAGTCGAGTCATACCAGCAGTCAAAGTGTTAATCACTCGTCGACGGGCGCGTCAGGATCGAGCATCGAGCCTTCAGGAACGGTGGTTGGCTTGGCGCGACGACATGCATAATCAGCAGGCGAAACGGACAAAGCACTGCCCGCGGGAGTAATTAAAAGTCTCGCAAACGTGGTCCTCCGTCCCGTGGAAATCTCATTTGCCGCGATTCCAGCCAACAGATGAGTCTGCTGTTCGGCCCGTGCATCGGTCAGTCTCATTTTAATGAACGAACGCGGCGCAGGGAGTGGAATTGAAAGTAACTGAGGCATTGTGTCACTCTAGTTTCGATAGAATAGTGTTTTTTTTTTTCTTTTTTGAATAATCCGACATCGTTGATCCGTTTTCAAAGGGATCTTTTCCCCATCGACTTTGCAAAGTTTCAAATCAACTCGTTAAACAGTTTTCAATCCATAAAATTCTAATTAATTAAAAGGCTTCCATCTTTTTTCTATAGCCAAATTAGATTAGAAGTAAAACGTTTGCCCTATGCTTAATAATTGCACGCCATCCAGTAATGAAACAAGGACTAATTGGCGTTTAAATGATGAGAAAGATAACGATCCCTCATGTAATGGTATTAGTATAAATTCACCCAACAAAGCCCGTGTTGTTAGTCCGGCTATCCAATTTCTCTCATTTCTCTCGCCAAACGCAATTCCACGGGCCAAAGGTAACGCAATTTAATTCGCCAGACAATTCGGCAACTTATTCGACGCCACGCGGTAAAAACACTCGCGAAACAACACCCAGTCCCGCGCGCGAGATAATTAAAATAACAAATGCTGCCGGGCAAATTCGAGCGTGAAAACGACCGGTTTGCTTGCTCTCGACCGGCGCGACGTCGCGGAAATCGCATAGAACCGATCTATTAATGCAGAGATGCGCAACGGCTACTCCGCGAACCTAATTCAAACATTTAACATCAAACATTCAAACAACATCATAAATGATTCGAGGAAATTGAAGATAAGTTGACGAATCTCGAAGTGTAATAATTAGACTGCGGATTTGTATGCCTATATAGGAAATTTGAAAATACAAAAAGTTATAAAATGTGCACAGTATGCAGTAGTATAGAAAAAATATTGCAAAGAATAAATCCCTGTGTAAGTTCAGTCTTTGATGGTGTGCTTGCAAAGATTTTATTTTGCATAGAGATTCTAGTAATAATGCACACAATTTACGAGCTCTTAACGAGCTTTTACACGTTTGGCTCGACTTATAAAGGACAAGGCCAAAGATTTAAAGTAAAAAAAAAAAAAAAAAAAACAATGGCGATTATAGTTCTATTTGTTTCATTTACAACGTCGATGAAGTAAACGAAAAGAATTCCAATTACATGCAACATTTAATTTTATTCGTCCCCCTTGGAGACGAGGTTACGTACCACTGCGTTGAAGCAACGCGCTGATACACAGTCCAGCGCATTCATTCCGTCGGAATTGCACAGGAAACGGACCTTCTACGAGGTTCATAGTCTCGCGTAATTACGTTACGCAGTTTTATGAAAAGCGTATTCTTTCGATTGGGGGGGGGCGGGGGGGGGGTGGAGGCTTCGTTAGTCGTACGGATATTTCGCAATATCGTGTATTCCGCGCGCGTATTCATTCTTCAGGAAGGTAATTGCACGCCTGTTGTGGAATCTCGCCGTCGTTTGTTTCGGGACACTGAAATATACTTTCGGTTGTACCGTTTGCGTTTCGTATGGTCCACGATCGCAGAATAGCGTGTAACCAAGTAAGAAACCTTTTTCGCGAGTGGTGAAAGGGGCATACCGACGATCCTCCGTTTTCTGTATTTTCTTTCTTGATTGCTATTAAGTATTGTAGTGTTATTATTCTTTTTATTAAGAATACGTATATTTATATATCGGTTTTAATACTCTATTAGAACTATTACGATCTTAAAACATAACGATTTAGGACAAGTAACGCGTCTTAAACAACTAGCGCGTCTCGACAACTTGACAACTCCGCTCAACTCGACTCGACTAAAATTGACTGCAAAAAAACTTGCCTTTCGGCTGGAACATCCCCTTTTAACTTTAACCCCTGGCCCGTGGGTTTTTCCCATCCCTCGCTTTCTCTCGCAATGCCTCCGTATAGTTCTCCCGACACTACAGTATTTTCTATCGATTTTAATTGTATGTTCGTTATTCGGCTTGAAATTGCAACGCACAAATTCACGAGTGAGGATGGGGGGAAAACAAGGCGTCCCCGCAAGAGGAGTCTCTCTTCCCTGCGCTATTCCAACATTCAACTATCTCCTGAACGACCGTTTGGAGATATGAATTCCCTTACGCTAAAAACTCGCAAAACAAAACAATATTTCGACGCGTTCTGAACTTCCATTCAGGTTTAATCGAAAACGGAATTTCTGTTCTTCGTAGGACGAGCACGATCTTGTAGATCTCGAGTCGGCTCGATCCCACCGATATTATTTCTCGCGGGTTAATCACCAGCGACCCACCAGCCAATAAATCGTCCCTAATTTGCTTTAAGCACCTCCTGGACTTATCTGCACCAACACCAAAGTCGCTGGATTATCTCACCGACTGAGTCTCTCTTGCGGCAGTCGATATTGCCTGTTCCAGGCTGCGCCGCGGTTATAAATTAACTTTAACGCATACCCTGGTCATCTGATCGCATTCGAGAACCTTGGATTCGATATTTAACGGGCAGATCGATAGGACACGTTGGTCCAGCATCCCTCGGATTCACTTTCATGGAACTCGATGTGTGTTGCCTAATTTCGCTGCGTGTATGAAGGAGCGTACAGGATATTCGTTAGGAGCTCGCGAACTCTGAAAGGAATGCGTGAAAAATGAATTAATATATTACTCAAAAAACCAAGCTCAAAAATGTCTAAATTCGCTGCTGTCTAGAAAATTTAACCAGTTCTTCCCGTCCATTATATTTTACTATTACAAGCAGCTTACAAGTTCTATCATGCTGAACGTTCGCCTGAGTTCTTAAAGCCCTTCCATTTTACACTCTAATGTGTCCTTAAATCGCCCATAATACATTTTGGTCGGCTAGGAGCGAGAATCCTCGATAAATCGACTGCTTTAATTTGAATTGATGACTCCCTACTGAGGAAGAGTAGTTTGCAAGGCAAGCTCCCTTGAGTACTTCATAAACTTCATAAAATTGTTGTACTATGATCATTCGATCGCTGGCAACGTCACAAGCTAAACGAAATTTACATGTCGAGTGTTTATTACGGAATTAGAGTTGAAATTAATATACAATAGCCCCCGGATGCGAGAGAAATCAGAAAATAAATTCATCGACGTTTCAGCAGATTAATTCGTAATTCTCGAAAATGTACCCCAGATGGAATTATATTGGACCCTCGTAATTATGGTCATTACTTCTACAAATTTGTATGTCGAAATGAAATTTCATTTAAAAATCGCGATAAATCCGCGGCTATGTAATTTTAATCTGTCGATATCAATGTATCTGAATTCAAACAATGAGACGTCACGAGAGAAAAACGTTATATTTATTTTTCAATTCCAAACAGCGGGGATTCGACGTGTTGACATTATTTACGATCGAACGCATACTGGTTGAAAATGAATATTGATTTTGCAAATGATAATCCGGAATGAAAATTCATTCCTTCGATGCGAAATGAAGGGAAATTATATTCGATTCGAAACTGTTGAATAGAAACTGCTAGAATAGATTTGTACTCTAGTTACAATAACTTTCGACGTACCGATGCGTCGTTACGTTATCTAGCACACAAAAATCAGGACGCATCGGTGCGGTCCGTACTCGTCAAAGGGTTAAGAGCTCGCGAGCTCTTAGCAAATAAATGTTGTATTTTTGTATAATCCAGGAGCAGAAAGCTTTACAATCGAACCTTTTAATAAAATGAATGGAATGTTTCGATAAAATGGCACTGTTATCCTATGCCTCACTTTTGCATGGTAAACAAAATGTTTACTTACGAAAATAATCCTAGCTGAAACAGAAACATAAAGATTCCATAACATTCTTCATTTCTTCGCCCACTGATTGATTATCAAAAAATGCGTTATAAAATTGATTCAGCACATAGGTTTCCCCTGTCGTCTCAATTAATTAAACAGTGAAATGAGTATAGAAAAAGTGTCTCGAAAGCCTCCAGTTTGGTAATTAACAGTTTAATATACTTATTTCCAAATGAGCCCCTCACCGTGGAATATTCGACGCATCGCTGACCGTTGGATTCCCATTGCGTTCTCCAAATTCTACGCAAGCTTTGATTAAAGCGATTCAGAACGCATCCTCATGCCTTTCCGAAGCGTGAGCGTAATAAATTCATAGCTGGGCTTGTATTGATTTCAGATAATGGGCAAGTGGTACGTGGTGGAAGTGTTGGAGCACAAAGTCGACCCCCTGAAGCCGGTAAGCGGATCGTACGTCATCGATTCCTGTCCGATTGTTAAACTGCGGGCACACGAGTACTCGTCACTGAGGCTTTTGTGGACCGAGGAGGCTGGAAATCTCGAGTACACTTTCCGGATACCGGACATCTCCAGGAAGCCGGGCGTCTGGATCTCCAACTCTCAGCAAAACGGTAACTCGACTTCCATCGACGAAAATCGTGAACCGGAAACGGTGAATCCAGAGATTCCGTGGACCCTTCGTGCGTCGCGATGATATCCAACCGTTTTGGAAGACACCCTCTTAGGAGACAAAATTTCCGTGTTCACGATTTACGAGATGATGAGTTGAATTAATAATTCTTGTTGTTTAGTGAGAAGCAATCACATCTTTATTAGAGATTTGTTGTATTATCGTTAAAATTGAAGAACCATTTTTATATTTATATCATAATTGTACACAACTTTATTGGCGATAGATACAAATACAAATGCAGTGCCTTATTTTGCTACGTATTTTTATTCAACAGAAATACAGAAACGAAATTTTTAAGACAGGAAGCAAACGAAAGATTTGGTCGTGCAGAGATCGTCTGAACTTGGGAGGAAATTAGAAGCTCGCTATTAAATCCTCGTTTCGTAGGTTCTTTGAGTCGTCGGTGGCCTTTGGCGAAGAAGAATGTCGAAGATCTTGCGAAATTCTTTCGAAAGAATTTCGATTCTTAACCTGGCGCGGCTTCTCTCGTCTCCTGGCAATATTCTTGTTTGATGCTTGGACGAAGCGTAAAGTTTCACGGTCTAGAGAATTCGGGGAAGAAAGACAACAGAATCGTTTACTAAAATAAATGTTTTCTGTTCCCTGCAAATTCGTACTCCTCGGCGTCTGTAAACGTTCCTCGCCTTCGTTCGAAAATATTTGGATATATCTTGTTCACTTTTTGACTACTGAATTCATCAGTGGCGTAGATCTATCCTCGGTTTATTTAATTAAATAATTTCCTTGAGATTCTCATTGAAATTCTAAATTTAAAAATTCCTTTGTTATGTTCGACTAAAAAATTTCATCAAAACACTCGATTGGAGAATTTCATCGTGATTTTTAATTAGCAAATGCCCTTTATTCACCCTCAATGATTGACTAAAACTTGTTAAAGACGCTCCACTCGATTCCTTTGTTAGATACGAAGTAGAGTGACTCAGTCCTTGGTCAGACCTAATTCAGTCGCAAACCAGCTTATCCCCTACGAAACCAACGAAGCCTAATCCAATTCTTGCTTACAATTAGAGCCACCGCGGATCGGATCCCCTAAACTTGGTTACACCAACTTCGTCTTGGGAATTTTCTGTCGAGCCGACTGCTTATTCCTTCGCTGTCTCTACAGTGGTCTTAAACGGCAGCTCTTAACTTGGGTTCCGCTCTGTTTCACCTTCCATTGTCCTATCGCGTTTGCACAGCTCATCGATTGCTACTTGGCAAAGCTACGTCAAACTCGATGAATTGAAACACTGTGATAACTAACTGACATCTTGTCAGGTTCTGTCTTTAACTTGATTAATGATATTGCTCTCGATGCTCGAATGAAACAATCGCAGTGTATATAAACTTTTCGACTTTCACAATATTTGAGAATTAAGTGTCTCCTATCTTAAACGATCGAGTGAATATCTTTGAAGGTTCGAAGGTCTGTTTCTCCACTCTAAATCCACCCTTTACTTTTCGATTGTTACTTCCAAACATTATATTTCTTGTTAACGAGAAAAATTAAAAACTATCGCGGGGTCCAAAAATAAATAAAAATTTGCTTCCATTAACTAGAAGCTTTCCTTTTCCATTTATTTTGTTCCTGCGTCAATCTTCATTGGTAAATCTCTCCCAATGAAAAGGATGTGTACAACTTAAAGTGGCAAACAATTCAAACACCTGCGTTCCTTTATGTACCAACAAACTTTCGTTAGAGTTCAAGTGTCACACTTCACGCTGTTCCCTCGTAAGTTTGGCCTTGGTTCAGCTTGTCTGTTCTTAATCCCTCGCTCGTGCTGCTCGAAGTCTTCGCGGTACATTCCCATCGCCAATAATTTTGAAGAGAGCAAACACGCTCTCCACAAAGTTTCTCAAAGTTTCCAGTCTCCGCGCAGACACGGGAACTCGCCTATTGAAACGTTCCATCTTTTCGCATATTTTGTCAATTATACATCCCCCACGTTTATGAATTATGCATTTTCAAACTGCGTTTATCTTAAGCCATTTTTGCTTCGTGGAATTAGTGGTAGGGTCGTTTTTAGAGAAGAATTTTTCATTCGATTCCGTCTTGGAAACTGGACGGCTACTTTTGTCACCAATTTGTATAACTACAACAAAATATTTTCTTATTCCCCAAGACACGCTCACACATTTCCTAAAAGGAAAAGTCACGATTTGAAATAATTCCCAAAGGACCAGTTTGACTACCAGCTCTCCTCTCATTCTCGCAAGCATCAAAGCGGAAACGGTACGAACGCAAAAGATCCCGGATGATTCATCGGCGGATGATCGTCGAGGGCCAGTTATCCGTGGAAGTTCGCGTTATAAACGGTTAATTAGCCGTCTGGCTGGAACAAAGTAGGGACAAGTCGTGGTGATTAAAGTCTGCGGGGCGGCGGACGGCAGCGATCTTAATGAATTCCAGGTATTCCGGCGTGATTATCGGTTAGCTGTCAGCGAGATGGGACCACCGCAGGGTCGGTTTCGGCTCCGGTTCCATCCAATTACGAATGAGGAAACCGGGGGATCGCGAGGGTGAGCCGACAACGCGATCAGGGACGCGGAAAATAATTTTTCAAAAAGCCTCTCTTTGTTGTTCGCCGTTTTTTAATTCCGCGATTCCCATTCTTCGACGTGCGGATGCCACGAATCCTCGCACAATGCATCCTGCGAATCGGGATCTCTCGAAGCTCCTTTCAACTTTCTTCTTTTCCGATTTCTGGCTCGAGATTCGTCCTATCGAGTTGTGTTCGCTGGTGGTCTCGCGACGTTTATTTCACGAGCTGCCAGTGTTCGAGAAATAGGGTGACGGGGAAAAAGGGTTCGTTTCGAGGTTCGATTAGGTGGAGGAATAAATTGCGTCCTGGTGGATTGGAAAGAGAACGAGGGATGAATCGCGTGAGTTCGAGGAAAGAAACGAACTCGGAAGACATTAATAATAACGTGTCTACTCAAGATAACGCGTACAATCAAGAATCTTTCTTTAAAATTTAAATACGTTATTTATTAGTTAGACTGGCAAGTAATGTCGTTTCTGCGAATGCCAATACTTCTTTATCATTTATCTGCTCATTGTGTACCAATCGATTTGATAAATATATATTCAAATATTTGTAAAGAAATACCCAATTTTAATTTAACTCTCTATAGGGCAGATGGTGTATTGATAGAATTTTTACGTGTTCGTTGTTCCAGTAATAATTGAAAATAATTACGCGATATTGTCATGCAAAACAGGATTGTTTTATCTTTCGTAATATATCAGCGCTTTGTGTTTTTACGTATTCTACTTCATACATTTTTGCCGTTCTTGGTTTTTTTTTTTCTTTGTTTACGCAACGCAAGCAATATTCCGATGATACGCGCAAAAAATATAATTTTCTCTGTTAAAAGCATCCGACGTATTGTTTTCCGCGTGTTTTTCAAGCATTATTAAATAATGAAAATTCGCGGAATTTTCTGCTGGCCCTCGCATTTGCGTTACGTTGCGTTTAAAAATGCGAAAATTTTCGAAAGGGGAGCAGTTGAAAATTGAACCCTGGACGAATCAAAATCTAACGAACACTCGCTGAATGTCAATCCTCCAGTTGCCAACTCGACAACAAAAATAGAATGTTTTTTTTATTATACTACAAGATTTGGTGAAACTTTGTTCTTCCATCTCTAGCCGTTTTCAAATTGAGAGTCGAACATTGGGAACATCTAACAAAATTTTTACTGTACACTTTCGGTATGATTCTGCGTGTACGGTGTCACCCCCTTGTAGGTTGCGTCGCAATTGCCGGGTCATCCTATGAAATAGTGTAAGGTTGACAGTGGAGAGCGATGGGAAAATCGAAAATATAACGCGCTCCAACGGGTCGGTGCAATTAATTTCACGCCATTACACGTCAATATCCGCGGGTTAGTGACCATTTACACGGTCGAAACAGTCTAATGGACGCCGATGTAATATTTGCGATGGGATGTCGCATCGACGTTATTGCGATTCGCACGTACCAGACGCGTGACAATCATTTTCCATACTAATAACGCGTTACGTTTTATCCGCAATACGTGCCGACATTAGCGATAACGCAGTCACGACATCGTTTTTAAAAGCTTATAAACATCCAATAATTTCTGACACATATCACAGGATCATTCGCGTACACCGTTATCGTCACTGCAACACGAGAAGCTGTAACGGTTTACAAACTGAGCTGATCATTTATAGGTTGTTCGTAATTTCGGTGCACTACCATGATAATAAGGACAAATTCAGTTTTGTTCAGATGTAGCGTTGCACGTGATTTGATTGAATTATCCAATTAGTAGTAAATCTAGTTACTGATATTTAAAGTGAGAAGAGATGAAGGTATTGCAAGCAGTACGTATTTAAATAAGGCTTTTATATATAAATGCTTTTGACCGTGTTAAAACGTTTTTATATGTAAGACATTTATACATGTATCATTGAATCAATTGAAATTTGATAAATCAAGATTATACAGACTTTCTTATAACCAAATGGTCAATGAACCATTATAATTTACTAACGAAACGTTACTTATTTACTTTACAAAAATTGGTAAATAAAACTATTCCCAATTATTTTGCTATTTCAATTTCTTTCCAATATGACTATCAACGCCTGCAAAAAAAATACCTAGAACAACAATCTCCAAATCACGACTACGACACGTTGCTCACGTAATCCACGCGTGACGACTCCATAATTCCGTCTCCGCGTATTCCTAATCAGCGGCGTAAGTACATCGCCAACGACATAATGGCGCGTAATATGACAGAATTTCAGCGGGGGAGACACGGCTGGCATTCCCAGCCAGCAGTAGACAATAATCAGGCCCGATTCACTGATTTCCGGCGGGTGAATCGGTCCGAGCCACGAACGATCGCACGTACCCCCCGATTCCGAGACCTGAAGAGACGTTAACGTCGCTCCTCGTAACGTCTGGAAGTTGCCACACGTGGAACTCGAGAAATCAACTTTTCTCGAACGTGGACTCGCAACTCTACTGAAAACTCCAAGGGAAGGTCTTCGATAGCGAGTGGCTACTTCGAAGGAAACTTTTATAGGAAACCTTTAAAGGTCCAATTCCTGCCCACGTCCACATCTACACACTGTATGCCTCAGAATTTTGTTTGGTGTCCAAATCCTAGAGCTTATGAATAGGTACTTTGAAGAAAACCTTTACAGAAGACCTTCAAAGCCCTCACTTCTGCCCACATCCACGACATCTACACACTCTATGCTTGGTAACTCTGCTTGGTGTCCAAATCCTAGAGCTTATGAATAGGTACTTTGAAGAAACCTTTACAGAAGACCTTCAAAGTCCTCACTTCTGCCCACATCCACGATATCTACACACTCTATGCTTGGTGACTCTGCTTGGTGTCCAAATCTTAGAACTTGTGACTATGTACTTTGAAGAAAACCTATACAAAAGACCTTCAAACGCCTCACTCCTGCCCACATCCACGATATCTACACACTCTATGCTTGGTGACTCTGTTTGGTGTCCAAATCTTAGAGTTTACGACTAGGTACTTCGCAGAAACATTTAAAGAAAACCTTCAAAGGCCCTATTCCCGTTCCCATCAACATGTACGTACTGTATGCCTCATAAATCTGCTTGATGTCACCAGGTACGCTGGCGAGCGCGGGCGACCGACAGTACAACCAGTTCTCGGGAACGGTGCACGTGATGAAGGCCGTTGCCTCGGACATGGTGTTGACCTTCTGCTCAGGGCGACCCGACAACCAGCTGTATTCCCTGCTCCTGGCGAGGGAGCACATCCTGCAAAAGAGCGACAAGCGAGGAGTCCACAATCTGCTGGGTCGTCGCGGTCTGAACATCGCGAGCATCCGCGAGACCTGCATGAACCACGCTCCCTGGAGAAGAGGCTCCTTCGAGGTGATCGGTTGGGTGACGCTGATGGGCGTCCTGTCCTCCAGCGTTCTCCTAGGCTCCTGGTAGTGGGTAGTTGTCTAACATGAGAAGTAATAAAAAATCACGACAAGGGGTTGGAAGGGAGAGAAATCGTTAGAGGATCGTCAGGCGATTTTAACAGGAGAGTCGGAACGATGGTTTCTGAAATGCTTGAATCAGTCCTGAAAGATTGATGAACCTCCCTTCGAGAATTTATCGTGTTTTCTGTTAGAGTAAGCTGGCCGTGAGCAGTGTTTCTGAGAAGAATTATTGCAATACGTGTACGTAGTGATTTCAATGCTGGGTCTAGGATTCTAATCGAAAGAGGGGGACTAAGGAGCGACTGCAGCGTCGGTTGTCGAGTTTTAATTTCTCTTCGAGCCAAGATCAATTTGGAGTCGACACTTTCGACCGTCGTGAAACTGCCCATGGCGAGGAATCTTGCTGGTATCGGAGATGGGATTTGTAGTAGGAGAACGCTATGACTGCGGACCTTAGCCTTGGGCGAACTATAATCCGTCACTGTGATCCCTGACTGATCAATAGGCTCTCGAAGCTTACGTATTATTGATTCGTGGTTACACATTGCGGATACGGTGATGTGGTTACTGACTAGGATGATTACTGTATCTCTTAGGTGTTGAATCAATCGAATAACAATAAAATTCAGTTCCTGTTAAAATACTTTTCTGCTATTCTATCCTCAACGTTATCCGAATAAAAATAGTAACTTAGATTACACGTCAGAGTCTAATAAGAGATACAGAGAGTATATCAGTGTCTCGTTTCATTTTTTCAAATTCGACTAAAAGTAGAAAGTGTACAAATAGAGCATGTGATTAGTTCGCCCTCGGGGAGGCTCGATTGTGAGCGATTATTAGAAAAGTTATCGCAGTCTAACTCCGGTTCATGCAGCATCTGTCGAGAGACGAGGGTCGTTTAACGACCCAGTCGATATCAGTGCCCTGGGGTCCTCTTTTGATCGCGGAAGAATGGCCTTAATTGCCGACGCAGCTAACGATCTCGGGTTTCGTGTCCGTTGCACAAACCTGGCCGAGTCTCGTGCCGCAATCGTAATAAGAATCTCGTCGAAAAATGCGAACGGATCGCGGAAATACGTCGCGACGTCTGTCGGTGTTCTTCGTTGGGAATCTGTTGCTCTAGTGCTCTCGTTGCTCTCATCGTGGACTTCCTGTTCTTCAAGATAGTTTTATCCCAGCGGCGACTAATCCCATCAGAAACTGTACAGGCCTCAGAGTTACGCCATCTTGGATCCCTAGACCTGAGGTCGACGAAACTTTGATCTACATAAGAATTTCCAGCGTCGAATGAAAGCTCACAAAATCGCGTGTGTGTGTTTCGTTGTATCTTTATTTAATGAACAAAAGTTCTTGAAGAGAGACTCTTGTGTTATTAAACGTTTCAAGCAATTTCCATTGTTTTTATATTCCTATCAGACAAGTATTTATAATACACTTTACGTTAAAGTTTCACAGAGGAAATGAAAACATTTCAATCTCCGAAATTAATCCCCTAGAGTAAATTTCGTTCCAAAAACCAAGATTTTTAAATAAATTGGTTGCAACGTTTGGCAATGAAATACTCGGATGGATATTATGATAATTGTATCAGCACAGGGATGGTTGCTATTGTACTGTAGGTAAGAAGAGGGAATTTCGGAGCGCGATGGCTGGATTTGAATGAGGCACGAGGGTGAATTACGTCTGGAAATATCCACGACGTCAGATAACGCTGGGCTGAAAGAGTTAATCGTGCCACACGGAGAACCGACTCTTCCAGCAAAGATAATATAATCCTTAGTCCCGAAGGAAACGAGCTTTCTCGTGAACATTAGTCGCGTTAGATGAAAATACGTGTCGTATGTGGATCATGGGTTTAAAAAGACAATATCAGTTTCATGATGATTGCGTCGATCCCGCTGAAGATTGGCTCGATTGGACATTATAAGATTCATCCAAGGTGAATATACCAGTACTTTAACCCTTTAACGCCGAGTTCTTTTTTTTTCAGGTAGAAAAAAGAATTTTCTTCGTAAAATTATTACAACATTTTTGACAAATTACACGCGCGTTTATCAAATTTGGAAGATATAAGTGACGCGCCTTCTGGTATCAAACAATAGAATCGTAATGGTATAGTATCAAAGGTCATTCTATCGTGCTAAATGAAATGGGCAATTTGATGTTATCGTATTTATTTAATTAGGTAGAGAACGATAAAACGGAAATGGAAAGTAAATATGATTCAATTGTAGTAACTGAAATTTGTAAAATAAAGAACTTGGGATTATTTAATATTTTGTTAAATATTTTACAAATATTACTGGTACGGTCACCTTAATAATTCATTAAACGATAAAGAAACTGGTGATTCCGCTGTAACATTCCTTTGGCGTGCAATTTGAAAATGAAACAAGATAGAATCTCATTGTAAGACGATCGACGCTCTGTGTTCAAGCACGAACGTGCTTTATAATACTTGAAAATCCATAGAGGTTACGGGAGAAGAATCTGCAGTGGTTGGATCAAATAATCTGTACACTACCTACTTCAAATTATGAAATAATACAGTGTCTCGTAACCGGTGGTACAAGGGGATAAGGGGTGATCCTAAAAATAGTTGGAAAAATTATTTTCGGGAGCATGGAATAGCATCCGAAAATTATTTAAATGTTGTCCCAAATTATTTCGAGAAGGATGAGAACTTACGTAAAGTCCCACATTGATATAATACGTCTCACAGATGTACAGGTTACTTTGTCCAACTCGGGTAGCATTCGTGTTCGGTAGAAATGAAATTTCTTCCCGAATGAAGCGTTCGACGACGAAGTTATTCGAAACGCGCAACGATTATATCACGATTTATCCTGTACGTCTTTCTGCTGTCTCGAGCTCGTTTAGGATAGAGGAATTTCGACTTTACAAATAAGCTACGATTAGCGAGAATTCCACTTCGAAAAAATTCTCCACGTGGGTTGAGAAGGAGGAATGAACGGAGAGCTGGAGGAGGGGAGGGGTAGGGAGGGGAAGGAACAGCGTTGTACGATTGTAAAATAGTTTAAATTATCGTTAGATGTTACTCGCGTCGCGACTTGGTTCGACATCGCTCGACGCGACCTAAGGTTTCTTGATTGAATCGAAGTAGCCGTGTCGCTGACTCAAAAGATAAAAGAAAAATAATAATAAAGGAACATAAGAAAAAATCGCACTCGCTTCCCCATCGAACATATTCACTCGCTGAACGTATCCTTTTCTACTTACCGAGATTCGTTGAGGCGATCTTTTTATAAGAAACCCTGAATTCTGCCAGTCTTGCGTCTTCTTGTGACCGATTTTTATACGAGCCACGTATCCAACGTGCATAAAGAAAAAAAAAAAAAATTGTATTGTGAAGGTTTCCACGCTTCGCTCTTTTTCGATACTATTGAATTTGAATACGGGTTAGCACGCTACCTGTGGGCGTTATCATTTAATCAAAACCAACCGACTGATAGACAACTAGCCAATGCAGTTTGAAGAGGGCACGATCGGTTCACGCACGAATAAATTCGACATAAAAGCGTCACGGCGACCGCGGAACGAAATTGTTGTACGGAAACAACGGGACGTAGTGCTACGTGATTTTCGATTCCAGTGTAATGAAATCGTTTCGTACGTAGCCAGTCGAAATTGGCTGCTTTTTCAATGGTGAAAATAACAGAAATACGTGGTTCTTAATTCAACTTCGAATTAAATTATTTTATTTATATTTGTTTATGAATACAGTGATTGGTGAAACGTAATACTATGTACTTTTCAATTTAATTTTAATTTAGAGAACGTAATCGGTGACGTATTATACTAAAACTGCCTTGCGTAGAAGAATATTTTAATTTAATTACATTTGTCGGGCCCTAAATAACTTCAAGCATGCGAAGAATATATTTTTAAGCCTTCTCCAAAAATCGGCTAAATTAAAAAAGAATTTACGTTATTAACTAATTTAAATGCGCGACTTTCGAATGGAAAATAATTAACGACAGATGAATCGAGAGAACGTAGCGCAACGTGATCAGGATTATGCGACGTAATCGAGCTGCATGGCTCACAGGTGGCGTGTTAACGTTTTTTTAATCGCGCGTTACGTATTTCCTGGATATATTTATGAATGTAAACGAATGCGTTCGGGTGTAGTGCGAGTACGTTTAAAATATAATTGAAATGCCGCAGCTTCTCGCGTCCGACGTGATTGTCCCCGCAAAAAAAAATGAAAAAAAAAAATGGCGCCGTTACGATTCGTTTGAAGAAACAAAAAAAAAAGTTTTAAGGTAAAAAAACTCGTGTCCTGTATATATATCCTCGAATCGAATTCGGCAGCTGTCGACGAGTATTTGGAAATGATGATATACGTATGGGGAACTCGTTAAATTATTGTACACTCGACGGCAATCGCAAGAGAGTACGCCATGTTATGTTTAAAATTCTCTAGAGTCTTTATTTATTGTACAGAATGCTCGATATATATATAAATAAATATATATATATATATATATAATATGTTCTAGTACATAATACGATGTAATCGTATGCTTATTATGTGTATAAATATGAAACAATAAAGAATGAATTCGACGGTTTCTGAGGATCTAATGAAACTTTTCATCGCCCTTCACATTCTTCAACGTTTCTGTTAAGTTTTCTCCTAAGTACGTAGATTTTATATACAATTAAAAACCTTAAAGAGAATAAAGAGACCTCTTCCTGTTAGCCTAATAAAATTCTCACGATTCCTCCGGAAAACCAACGATTCCAAAATTCTATCTTCTTAAAATGACATGTATCTACGACTGTGCAGAGTTCCAAGACGATAATCCAAATAATTTTCATGCTCTAAAATTCCCAAAGCGTCCCAGCGTTTTTTTTTTTATAATACAAAAGCCCACTCGAGCGATCGTTAAAAATGGATTTTAGTGGCTGGGTATTAAAAAACTGTCGAAAATAGAAGCACCGCTCGAAAAGTAAGCGCGATGGCCGCTTCAAACGCAATTTCACTCGTCGCTGCGAGAATTTCGCGAACGGCAGCGTAAAGCTCCGAGGGAAAATAAAAGGTGGAAAAAAATAACGAGATTGCATTAGCGCATGAGTCCTGAATACTGAAGAGCTCGGGAAGAATCAAGGGGTAGAAAGCTTTCGGTAATACGTGACGCTGTGTACCAGCCCGACTAACTATTACACCGACGAAAGATTTTTAACCTGCGACCTTACTCGTCGGTCAGAATTAGGGGCATAGTTGGCGAAGACGGGAGTAAAAATAGTCGAGGAGTAATTAAAGTTAATTTTAACTGTTGACCCGCGACTATTTGCCTTCTTCCCTTCGATTCTTCCAATCTTCCTGTGCTCGTTCGATTTCCATTGGGAGTTCGATAAACTTCCGAAAAGTTCCAGTGTTCAGCAAAGTACGGTGAGTCGACGTGATTCTTGGGAAGCTCCTCCAACTAAGAATAATTTTATCCATTAAAGGAAATTAATAACTTCGTTCCGTCATTCAAATATAAACCGAAATTTCGGTACACAACTTCATTGGTGATAGATACAAATACAAATGGGGTGCCTTATTTTTCTACGTACTTTTCTTCAACAGGATACATTTTCAGATAGGACATTTTCTAATCCCTTAGGGAAAGAAGCAGTTCTATATGCGGTCGTGCGTTGTCGTTGTTGAAAATGTATTTCTGTTAAAGGAACCTATTGTAGAAAACTAAAGCGATCCATTTGTATTTTTATCTATCCTCAATTAGGCTGTGTAAAAAAAATCCGGTGTATATTTGAACGATCCTCATGCTAGTAACTATTTGGTAAATTACTATTCAAATTGTTGCAAACGTAACGCGCTCAGAGGCAAGCATATCAGAAAGTTAAAGGTATTAATACGTTTGACGTTGGGCGGAAGGCGCTTTCGGCCGCCAAACGCGGAAATTCGACAGAAAACTTCTCGACTGACGGACTTTTGTGCCTGGTCCCTTTGACCGTCGACTTATATCTCGCCAGCGGAGGGAAAGAGGAAGAAATCGCTGAAGAAGATCGAAACGTAGACGTCCAACACAAGAATACTCGAAGACCCCTGGCCAGGAAGAAACGAGAAGATATCCGAGGGAACCGACGGAAGGAACCCGACGGGTTGAAGGGATTCGAGATGGAAATGAAAGGGGTCGATCAGAGATGGAACGACGCGAGGAAAACGTGCCGAGCAGGCTTTTCATTCGATCCTTCCAGTCGCGAGTCTCTTCCGGCTGTCCTTTGGACAGAATTTCTAATTTATCTTTCATCCTTCGGGAATGGAGTCACTGTGGATTCTAACTTCGACAGGGTTCGACTTAACTTCGACTCTACTTCATTAGTTGTGAGATCCATACATTCGGATGATTGACACATGATATATGACACGTGATATATGATTAAGTCATCTTCGTGGATTTGGAAGATCTAGACTTGACTGGTCTTGTTTTGGTTCGGGGGAATCAATTTTAGAATACAATGTTAGAAGGAGAAACTGTGTCGAAGAAATCGAGTCGGACGGTGATTATTCGTTAAGAGCTCGCTGCTGTTTGTTAATATCTCTTAATGAGTATATGTTGTACTGCATAGGTCCTCTAAAGTATTTTTATACAGCATTTAATTATATCAGCAACTACAGAAGATCATTATAGAATATATACGAATAGAATTATGTAAGAAGTGTGTATATAGAATTGTATAAGAATATTAATTAAAAATTCTTGGTCCCAAAAACAATTTTGATTAACAATTAACGATCAACCACTGTCGAAATAACCCCGTTGTCTCCTCGCGAATCAACCAATCGCGTCGGTTGGGTCGATCAACGATACCATTAATCCGGTCGACGCCGAATCCCGCGTTGCACGAATCATAAAACACGTTGGTCTGGTGAAACAAACATTTCGGGGAGAAATATTACCGTGACTAGCATTATCGTTGGACGTTAAATTTTCAACGGGAGCACAGTGCTCGCTCGAACGGTGGCTGCTCAAGCATGGTCTCGCGCCCAGAACGTCGTCATCCGACAATGACAAACGAGCAAACGGAGCACGGAACGCGTCGCCGGGCGGTCCCCGGCGATCGACTTTCCAAAACAACACGCCGATTAACCCATCAATGGGAATTAGCATTTTAATTGTACCGTGGGTGGCCGCGGGATTGGGCTTGTCCGGCGGTTTTTCGCAATGAAAGAGGATCACGACCTCTCGCCCCACCGGAACAGATAACTGAATTAATAAATTAGCTAATGGCCGCGCCAGTGAATCGACATATTCCAGGCAGGAAGTGAAATTACGCGAACACGATGTCGTACGTGTCGCCTTTGAAATTTTAGACTCGGCGTGGGATCAATGGGATCTTGTTGAGAAGTTCTAGTGTTATTGGGGTGAGGACGGGGGAGAAACAAGAGGAATTGGAGATTTTTTATAAGGTAAGGAAAAGAGGAAGGAGTAAGTGTGCTCGAGTCTGGCGCTCCACGAGGCTTTACGGCACACACGTTCGAGGAATAAGAATTAGATTCAATTAACCACGGCATTCAACGCGCGTCTACTTGCATAAACTTTGTCCTCGTAAACTGGCGACTTGTTCCACGCTGTTACTAGCAGTTTGACGACGTACACTGGCTCGAAAGGCGTCAGCAGCAGAGATCGTGCTTTGGTCAGATGTCCAAGGCCGATACTCGGTGTTTACGGTCGCCTCGAGAACACGTCTGTCCTTATTTTCCAAGTATATCGGTCAGTTCAACAAACGAACCATTGGAAACATCTTGTTACAAATTTTCTTTATTTTTTTACATTTTATCAGATTACACAATTTTAATAATATCATTAATCTCTGCAGATCTTTAGTTTTAGTTAGTTTTACTAACGGTAGTGATTTGTTTTGAAAAGTAAAGAATGTTTGGTGCGAACGAAAAGCGTCAGTAGTAAAGGTTGCGCTTTGGTCAGACATCCAAAGTATGATAAATACCTGGAGAATACTTGAATACACCCTTACTTTCCAAGTACATTTATTAAATACACAGCCTGAGTATTAAAACCACCTCCCAGAAGATTTTATTAACTTTAAAATTAATATAGTTTGTACGAGGAAGTGGAAGCGAAGGAATGTTTGGTGCAAGTGAAAAGCGCCAGTAGCAAACGTCGTACTTTGATCAGACATCTGACACGGAGGTTAATACGCTATTATTTGAGAATCTACATTAAATTGAATATTAACGTTATCTGCACGAGAGACTGTAAGAAACAGAACATTCAATGTCAGTGATAAATTTCAGTAGAATAGGTCGCCCTTTGATCAGACATCCACACACATCACTTTTAAAATGGATATTCTTTGTTCGAAAAAATGTTTGTCACACAGGACAGTTCAATTTTACATTTTTCAACAAAAAAAAAAAAGGCAGAACGACTTCCTCAAAGACCTGTCGTAACAACGTTCCACAAAATGAATAACAACGCATAATGTACGTCTCGCAGATGGTTACTTTTAACGAGGAATTTAAAGTTACCGATCAACTTTAAACCCGAGGCCACTCTGGAACTTCAAACTCGAAAACTTACGCGCAAGTTCAGACTCTGCATACGTCGTCTTGTACACCGGAAGCTACTTTGCATGCACATTGCGCCATTAGGAAATTCCAGACCAATTTTATTCTCCGCACGCTGCGGCACCTCTTCGCGTTTAGTTAACGACGACCTGTTAACACACGGAAAAACAAACTATTCGAACTATTTGTTTGGAAATTTCAATATTACCCGAGCCACATTTACGCTTTTATTAAAGGAGTTGCCTTATTCGAAGTACTAGAGATCATAATTGAGATTTTTTATTGAAGGGACTATTGAAGGAATATATCGATTCCATATTTTGTATATATTTTATTTGATGCTTCGACAAGCTGTAGAAATTTTTCATTCCTTTTCTAGAAGTAGATTCTAAACAAAAAAAATTCAAGGAATATTAGAATACTTAAAGAGTTCGAAAACCTGCGACATTCCCACTTTATAAATTTCACCATGATCAGGCACAATTTTGTCGAGCCTTGAAGCTGTAAGAAAGTGTAAAAAGATACAACATAAATTTCTTTAAAAACAACTACCAATGTAATTCCTCCACGTTTGATTTCAATGCAACAAACCAACAATCACACTTAATTTATTATTTTCCAGTTAGTCGGAGCTGATTAATCCCAGTATCGGTAGATGTACCCAAAACTTTCCACCAGCAATGTATCTTCGCGACTATTAACCACGACCCAAATGCTTCCAGAATTCCAGAAACTCTCCGCATGAGCGCGCAGGTGTTGCACCCAACACAGAGTTCCCTTAAATTACGGTGAGCAGCCCTATACCTCGAAAGATTAGGTTACATCATTAGAATATGAGACTATTGGCCGAAAGGTCGTGCACGTTTCTAAGAAACTTCGTGCATGCCAGAGAAGTAGCGACAGATATAAATGAAAAAAGGAAAGATCAGCTCTGGAGGGATGTGCGAACTTGGATCAACCTTTTGGCGAAGGTTCGCACTCACCTGTAACAGTTGTAGCAAAAATTACGCACGACTTTTCATTTACATACGA